TTTCAAAACAAATACAAAATTATATCTAGGGCAGTAACACATCCAGTAACTTTCTCAGGCTTAGAGTAAAATCCCTTAATTAACTCCATCAAAGTTGTGCAGATTGCTCCAGCCCAATCACATGCCTCATGATGTCTAGATCCTCTACAACCCGGACGAACCCCCATCCCACGGTCTCGCCTGAAGTAGCAAAGAATAACTTCCCACACAAGTACAAACACAGTAACTTTGCTACATCCTGGTGATCCTGAGTAGTGTCCCCGAGTAATGCATCCATTAACAGTTCCTTAATGGTCTTCAAGTTTATGCGTGCTATTTTGGGACACCTTCGTTAGATGAATTCAGTCGGAAGTCTTGGCCCATGTGACACATCTAAACTCTTCTCACCACCCTGAATTCTAAATATTAGTTGCATATCGATGCTCGTCAACTCAATGTGTTTACCACCAATCATGAAACCTGACTTATCTTGAACAAATGTCTGAATGATCCTCATTACAATGTCATCGCATTTTTGGAATTCATGTTGGTTTAGATCGGTTTTTCGCATCGCATCCAACAGCAACTAGAACGGTGTCTTCTGAAGATATTGCAAATGCTCGTCTTTTAGTTTTGACGCTGCCACCAGCTTCACAATTCCAGCAAAGTTGGAACGGTAGCACAATGTTGGTTGTTTGTTCAGTCGTTATTGAGGCTCATATTTCAGCTTCTTTCCTTTTCGGGCACTGCTTTGCCCTAATGCATTCACATTCTGTGACGGAGTTTGAGACCACCGTCTTTTACCAGTTGTAGTCCCTTCACTGCTACTCACTTTCGTCTTGCAGCCTGTCTGTGGTGTACGTTTAATTGTGCCTCCTGAAAAAAATGCCACCAAAAATTCACATTTCATATACAAGCAAGATCCCACATGATAACGTATGTGAATATGTAATTTAATAGCAATACGTAACATTGCATGTCAGATGCTCATGATGTGACTAGTGTGACTGAGAAGTACTTGACGTAACTGTGACAAATTACGTGCACACATGGACGGCCATGGTTTCAAATGTGACTGAGAAATATTTGACGTAACTGTGACAAATTACGCGCACACATTTACGGCCATGTTTTCAAATGTGACTAAGAAGTACTTGACGTAACTGTGACAAATTACGCGCACACATTCACGGCCATGGTTTCAAATGTGACTGAGAAGTACTTGACGTAACTGTGACAAATTACGCGCACACATTCATGGCCATGACTGTGACAAGTTACGCGCACACATTCACGGCCATGTTTTCAAATGTGAATGACAAGTACTTAACGTAACTCTGACAAATTACGTGCACACATTCACGGCCATGACTGTGACAAATTACGCGCACACATTCACGGCCATGGTTTCAAATGTAACTGAGAAGTACTTGACGTAACTGTGACAAATTACGCACACACATTCACGGCCATGGTTTCAAATGTAATTGAGAAGTACTTGACGTAACTGTGACAAATTACGCGCACATATTCATGGCCATGACTGTGACAAATTACACACACACATTCACGGCCATGTTTTCAAATGTGACTGAGAAGTACTTGACGTAACTGTGACAAATTACGCGCGCACATTCACAGCAATGGTTTCAAATGTGATTGAGAAGTGCTTGACGTAACTGTGACAAAGGTGTGCGCGTAATTTGTCACATTTGAATATCTGAGTGAAAACAACCAAACGACATCGTACCACAACGTGGCATTGTACACACAGTTCAACTTACATGTGCTTCCACTCACATCCGACACTAATTTCATATTGGGCCACAATCACATTCATTAACTGTACAACACAAAACGACAAACCCCTAAAATAGTCTACCAAACCCAATACTACGCTCAAATCGAAAAAAAAAACAAATAAAATCAATTAATGAATGTGACTGTGGCCCCCAAAATAGTCTACCAAACCCAATACAACAACGAATCAAGCATAAATCACCCACACTGGTCAACCCGCAGAACCTCCATTGTACAACCCCAACATACATACTATTTCCAATTCGGAAACTGTAAAATCAATTATTCATCACAATTCTCACAAAACTTACAAATAACAAAGCAGATTACGACTGAAGGTCACATAAACCCTAGTTTTGGGTTGTTAATAAAAATCAAATAAATTAACATTGCGAAACAGAGGCAAATCCACACTTACGTTTCGGAGTCATCATTCCTCCTTCTCACCGTAAGTGGTAACCGTTATCACCTTCTCGTCGAAAGTCTCCGTCGAATCGCACCCCTTCTCCTGTTGGTGGTGAGTTTCGAAATGTTAACAACTGAATCAGCCTATTTTGGGGGTTTCGAAATGTTTTTTGAATTTGCAAATTAATGTATATGGATATGATATTAACATCTACTATTACGGGTAAATGTGTCAAGTAAATTCTCATAGGACTTATGAGAGGGAGCATCAATTTACACCCATACCTCTCTCTCTATACACATCTTTCACACACAACTTTTCAACACACTCTCTCATTAAGTGTGTGGGAAGAGGAGATATGGTGTGTGCAAATAGCAGCTCCCCTTCTGAGAATATAAGTTTTTACTTAGGACTTAACCTACCATAAGTGTCTGAAAAATGGTTTATAAATAGGGGAATGCACCAATAAATCCCAAATTAATAACTTATACACTGTTTAGTCCTAAAAGTTTTCTTATAGACTGAAAGGTCCCATTACAATGTTTCAAACATCAGATTAATGTTTCGAACATCAGATTGATGTGCAAATGGGACTAAATGGAGCATAAGAAAACTTTTAGGACTAAATGGTTCAACTTTTCAGAAACTAGGACTTATGGATAAATTTTCCTTATAAATAAGTCTCCCAAATTAATATTTTGAAATTTTTAGTATTTTTTTAATATTATAATTATTTTTATTTATATACTTTTTAAGTCCATTTAATCTAGAGGCACTTAAAAAATATAAAGTTTGCATAAAATTATTTTAAAAATTCACTAAATACAATAAAAAAATCATATTTTTATAGAATTTATTTAAAAAATTAAATATTTCTTTCACAAATAAATTATTTGAAAAAAATAATAATATTTAAAATATTTTAATCCATGTTATTTAATATTTTAATCTATTAATCCTATCAATAAATTTCTAATCCCATATATTATCCTTCCATGCTAGTCCAACCAAAAATGGAGATTGCTAGTCCTTTTGGAGAACCCAAAAAGGATATTGCTATTCCTCTTGGAGTTTCTATATGACACTTCCTCACTATTAGTCAAATTTCCTGGAGCCAAATAAACATCACCTTACAATTTTTGGCTTTGTTTGGGATATACAGTTGGATTAAAATAATTATATAAAATAAAATTGACTATTTTAGTCAAACAAGATAAAATATCATATCTAATTCATAATCATTTTTTTTCTCTCAAAAAAATCAAAAAAAAATCAAAAAGTTTATTCTAAACGAAACTTTTTAACTCAAATTAAAATAACAATTCCGATACAGACCCCCTCAATTGAAGACCCCCTCAACCCCCTCTGAGGTGGCACCTGATGAAGTCATCTGAAGAAGAATCGCACAATGAAAAAGGTGTTTTACACGCACCTGAAAGACAAGAAAAATACTGAAAACAAAGACAGAAAAAAAAAGCGGGAACGTCTTCTCTCTTCCCTCCCATCGTGCGTCCCTCATAGCTCTCCTCCGTCGACCATAGCATTTTGTCAGGTAATGTTACTCGAAAACCCCTGATTCTCCCTCTCTCTCTCTCTATCTACATCAACTATGCTGAAACTGTCATGGTTGATGCTCATAATTTGAGGTTCTGTATAAAATCTGTTCATAACCCCAAATTATGACATCCCTGCATGTTATCAGTTTGTTTTGGCCGATATTTATTGAAACATTGAAGCAGAGAATTTCTTTGTGATTATCAAATTTTTGGCTGTATTCATTAACTTTTTGGACATTACAGAAGGTGCAAAGTATACAGAGAAAAAATGGACAGTTCTAATGATATCTATGATAGCATCAATGCTAGGATTATAACTCTGAACTTTTGAATCTATTGATAAATATATTGCCCAGAGCTTCATCACTGCATAATTTAGAGTAGGATTCTGGTTTCATTTTTATTTTTTTATTTTTTTTACTTTTCACTTACAAATAGAGAAACTTACTCTTTGTAGGGTTCCTGTGATTATGCAATCTTGTTTGGGTTGTTAAATTTTTCTTTTTAAATTCTTCATTTACCTTCAAGTAAAAGAGATAATTGCAAAGTCAAGGTAAAGAGAGCTTTAGATTTCTATATGAGTGAGATAATGTAGGAAAGATTAGAATGTACCAAGCTTGGTTCTGCTACTTTTTAAACATATAACAGTACTTAGAGACAAAAAAACTATGAAATTGTGACAAAAAGCAATGGAAAACTTTGTTTGATAATTTCATAACAGTGGAAAACTTTGTTTGACAAAAAGCAGTGGAAAACTTCAAAGTTTCATAACAGATGTTTGATAATTTCAATCAAACATTGTATTTGACAACAGATGTCTGTCTTCACAGATGTTTGATTGAAATACAATTTGTTTTATAATATTTTAGCTGATGTTTGATTAGTTTTATAATCAAACATCTGTGATGATTATAAGATTTTGAAAGTTTATTATTAGATCAAAGTTTCAATCATCACAGATGTTTGATTAGATGTTTGAAAGTTTATTATTAGATCAATGTTTCAATCATCACAGATATGTTCAACAAAGTTTATTATTAGATGTTTGATTAGTTTAATAATTTTATTATTAGTTTTATAATATTTTAGCTAATGTTTGATCTTAAAAACATCTGTGATTAGTTTTAGATATCACAGATGTTTGAATTTGTTTGATGGTTTATTTCAACAGTTTCTACAGTTTATTAGCTGATGTTTGATCTTATAAAATTATTATTCTAAAATCATTCTATTTGAATTTTATTTTTGATTCTCATAGAATGGAGGTTGATTCAAATGGTGGTGACAATCCTTTAGTAAATGAGGGTGAACAAGTTGAATCTGATTTCCGACCCCCTCGAAAACAAGTTGAAGAACCGAAAAAGGGCATGTGTTTTAGCTCAAGGGAAGAAGTGTACACATTTTATGCCACATATGCTAAGCATGTTGGCTTTTCTATAGCTCATAGAGCACAATATTTTGGAGATGATGGCGAATTAAAAAACTTTGCAATTGAATGTTCTCGAGCGGGGGAGAGAAAAAAGAAATCAGAAGTGAACCCTCTGAAGCCATCTTTGTCCACAAAAATTGGTTGCAAAGCAAGGGTACGAGGTACTCTACAAAAGAATGGGACATATATGTTAACCACGGTTAACCTTGAGCATAATCATGATTTGATTCCCACAGACTCTCATCATTTTGCAATGAATAAGAAAATTCGTACTCCTGTGAAGAGAAGATTAGAAATCAATGATCAAGCAGGGATTGGGGTGTCTAGGAACTATCATTCAATGGTTGTTGAAACAGGGGGATACGAGTCATTGACATTTGATGAGCGAGATGCAAGGAATTACACTAATAGAGCTAGAAGATTAAGGCTTGGTGAAGGTGATGCCGAATCACTTCAAAGTTATTTTATCAAGATGCAAGCACATAGTGAGAAATTCTTTTATGTGATTGATGTTGATGAGGAGTTTCGCATTAGAAACTTGTTTTGGGCTGATGCAAGGAGTCGGGCTATGTATGAATCATTTGGAGATGTTTCATTTGACACAACTTATCTGACGAACAAATATGACATGCCATTTGCTCCATTTGTAGGAGTCAATCACCATGGACAGTCTATTTTGCTTGGTTGTGGATTGTTATCTAGTGAAGACACCGACACATTTGTTTGGCTATTCAAGTCGTGGTTAAGTTGCATGTCAAATAAACCTCCAAAAGCTATCATAACTGATCAGTGCAGAGCTATGCAAAATGCTATAGAAATTGTCTTTCCACAGGCCCGGCATCGATGGTGCTTATGGCATGTAATGAAGAAAATACCGGAGAAGTTGAAAGGATATGCTCAGTATGAACCCATGAAGTTGGCTATGCAAAATGCAATTTATGATTGTTTGACAAGAGATGAATTTGAGGAAAAATGGGAAGAGATGCTTACTAAATTCAATCTTTATGATAATGAGTGGTTGGGGGTACTATATCATGAGCGGCATCGATGGGTTCCTGTGCTCTCTGTCAACCATAGCTCTCCGTCGACCATAGCATTTTGTGGGGGAGAGAAAAAAGAAATTAGAAGTGAACCCTTTGAAGCCATGTTTGTCCACAAAAATTGGTTGCAAAGCAAGGGTACGGGGTACTCTACAAAAGAATGGGACATATATGTTAACCACAGTTAACCTTGAGCATAATCATGATTTGATTCCCACCGACTCTCATCATTTTGCAATGAATAAGAAAATTCGTACTCCTGTGAAGAGAAGATTAGAAATCAATGATGAAGCAGGGATTGGGGTGTCTAGGAACTATCATTCAATGGTTGTTGAAGCGGGGGGATACGAGTCATTGACATTTGATGAGCGAGATGCAAGGAATTACATTAATAGAGCTAGAAGATTAAGGCTTGGTGAAGGTGATGCCGAATCACTTCCAAGTTATTTTATCAAGATGCAAGCACATAGTGAGAAATTCTTTTATGTGATTGATGTTGATGAGGAGTTTCGCATTAGAAACTTGTTTTGGGCTGATGCAAGGAGTCGGGCTATGTATGAATCATTTGGAGATGTTGTTTCATTTTACACAACTTATCTAATGAACAAATATGACATGCCATTTGCTCCATTTGTAGGAGTCAATCACCATGGACAGTCTATTTTGCTTGGTTGTGGATTGTTATCTAGTGAAGACACCGACACATTTGTTTGGCTATTCAAGTCGTGGTTAAGTTGCATGTCAAATAAACCTCCAAAAGCTATCATAACTGATCAGTGCAGAGCTATGCAAAATGCTATAGAAATTGTCTTTCCACAGGCCCAGCATCGATGGTGCTTATGGCATGTAATGAAGAAAATACCGGAGAAGTTGAAAGGATATGCTCAGTATGAACCCATGAAGTTGGCTATGCAAAATGCAATTTATGATTGTTTGACAAGAGATGAATTTGAGGAAAAATGGGAAGAGATGCTTACTAAATTCAATCTTTATGATAATGAGTGGTTGGGGGTACTATATCATGAGCGGCATCGATGGGTTCCTGTATATGTTAAAGACATTTTTTGGGCTGCCATGTCAACAACACAACGAAGTAAAAACATGAACGCTTTTTTTGATGGATATGTCAACCCGAAGACTACATGAAAACAATTTGTTGAACAATATGACAATGCATTGAGAAGTAAGGTAGAGAAAGAGAAGAAATCAGACTTCAAGTCTCGACACAAATTGTTTGATTGTCTAACTATAAATGGCTTTGAGAAGTAATTTCAGCAAGCCTACACCAATGCAAAATTCAAAGAAGTTCAAGGAGAGTTAAAGAGATTAGTATACTGTCAAGCCTTGATTGTCAAAGAGGAGGGAGCAATTTGTACATATAATGTCCAAGAAGCGATGGTAGTTTGTGACAAGATGAAGCATGTGGACTTTGTTGTGTATTTTAATTCAATTGAATGTGAAGTTCAGTGTATGTGTCGGTTGTTTCAGTTTAGAGGGATTATGTGTGCTCACTCACTCGCGGTGCTTGTGAGAAGGTGCATAAATGAGGTGCCAAGTAAGTACATTTTGCCACGTTGGAGGAAAGATTTGGTTCGAGAGTACACATACATCAAAACCACGTACACTGGCTTTGGGGATGATTTCAATACAAGTTGTTATGAGAGGATGAACAAGAAATTGATCGCCATTATACAACTTGCTGGTAATTCAGAAGGGAAAATTAAAATTATAAACTGTGCGTTGGATGAAATGAAGGATAGAGTCATGCACGATAAATCGGGTGATGGGAGTAATTTAGCACCTTCTACTAATAGGATAACATCTTCTACAAAAAGTCCAATTGCCACCGGATGTACATCGGGTGCTAGTACGAGGAAGGTGGTTAGTCCTTTGGTTGTTCGGCGAAGAGGCCGTCCAGTAACGAAACGAAAGGTTGCCAAAGTAGATCAAATAGTGAATCGGTTCAAGATAACGGCCAAAAAACAAACAAAAGCAAAGGTAAATTGTATATTGAATTGAACTTGTATATTAAATTGAACTTGTTTTTTATTTTTTTAACAAACTCTTTTCAACTACATTTTTACAAACTCTTGAACCAATATAGGCTGCTAAGGTTCTTCAATTTGAAGCTCAAGCTCAAGCTGAAGTTGAAGCTCAAGTTCAAGCTCAAGCTCAAGCTCAAACTTATACATCATATTATCCTTATATGGTTGGCATGCAAAATAGTGTGTATACACTGGTATGTGTTCATAAGATGACTTTACATTCATTTTTTGTTTTCATTTACAAATATTTTGTAACATGTATTTTTTTACTTCAATTATAACAGGTTGTAAATGCTATTGGAGGCACATCTCTTATCCCATCGAACTTTGTAAGCGGCACACCGAGAAGTTTGATTCATGGTCCAACTCAATTTCTTGGATCTGGATCTCTAACCCCATCGGGTTCTAATGCATGCATACCGGGAATGAATGATGGACATTGCACAGCGCGAATGAATGATGGAGATTGTAGAAATGTTTGACTAGTTTATTGAACATTGACATTTTGTTTTTGAGATTGAAACTTATTATGTTAAGTCCCATGTTACATGTGTAACGCATGTTGTGTATGAATTTACAAGATTGGTTATTGAGTTCATGGTTTATTTTGACAATCTGCCTTTCAACATTTTCAGTTCACAGTTGATGGTTTAAAAAATTCTGTAAAAAAATATGTTTCATTTTGCTATTTTGACAGTGTTTGAGCATTTTGTCAGTGTTTGAGCATGATTTTTTGAGAGTTCATGCAGAATCTCTGTTGATAGTTCATGGTTTAAGAAATCTGTAAGAAAAATGATTTTAGCCAACATATGATTTTTTCAGTTCATGGTTCAAATCTGTAAAAATCTGTGTAAAATCTGCAAAAATCTGTCAAATCTGTAAAAATCTGTGTAAAATCTGAAATCTGTGTAAAAATCTGATTCATGGTTCATGGTTCATGGTTCATGCTCAAATGTCAAATCTGGTTCATGGTTCTGTAAATGATGGTTCATGGATCATGCTCAAATCTTAAATCTGGTTCATGGTTCTGTAATTGATGGTTCATGGTTCATGCTGTCTAAAATCTGTTTATGGTTCAAATTTGTAAAAATCTGTTTATGGTTCAAATCATGGTTGCCAAAATATGTCTGTTTATGGTTCAAATCATGGTTCAAATCTGTAAAAAATCTGTCATGGTTCATGCTCAACATCTTGATTCTACAACAATTCCACAACTTCTTCATTCCACAACAAACCTGTTTAAAATCTGACATGGTTTAAAATCTGTCATGGGTCATGGTTTAGTTCATGGTCTAAAACCTGTTCATGGTTCACATCTTCATTCCACAACAATTCCACAATAACACATCTTCATTCCACAACAATTCCACAGTACCACATCTTCATTCAACAATTCAACAATGACAATTCAACAATTCAATGGGTCATTTCCCTTCCACTTAAAAATTCAACAATTCACAACAAAACATATTCCATTCCACAAAACATATTCAACAATACATATTCCATTCCACAACAAAACATAGTTCAATCTACTTCTACTTCTACTTCTAACTAGCATTACATCTTCATAAGTAATAACACACCAATTACAAGAAAGAAAAACATCACAAATTCTAGTTTTTTCATCTTTGCACTAACAAAGGTAAATTGTTCAGTCATAGCTCGAAGTTGTTCCGTCATAGATCTTTGTTGTTTGGTCATAGCTCGAACATGTTCCGTCATAGATCTTAGTAGTTCTCTTTCTACTTGTCTTGGAATTTCTTGATCTCCACATTCTGAATTCATAGGCACACACCATCCAATGAAAATACCACAACCATTACAAGAGTAGAATAGCTTGTTTTTGTTTCGATCGGTCTCAGAAATTTGAATCATGGCGTTTTTCTTACATGTAGGACAATTTTTGTTGAAGTACATCAACTGATCTGGGGTACTGGCGTTGACAGTTGAACTTGACATCTGCAATAACAAGTTATCCTAATTAACTGAAAATAGAATCAAAAAGTGAACTCAATAGTCTCATATGGGAATAGTCTGAAATTGAATCAAAAAGTGAAAATTCAAACACTGTCAATTTGAATTTGAACTCATACAAGTTACATTTTATGTGCATTGGGCTAGTTTCATTTTTGAATTGTAAGTGAAATTTGAACATTGACACCTTGTATGAGTTCAAACACTGTCAGTTTGAATTTGAACTCAATTTGACAAATGAGTTCAATTCCAGGTTCAAATTCATTTTCCAAATTCAAATGAGTTCAAACTCATTTCACGTACAGTTTGAATTTGAACTCATTTCACTTACACTGTTTGAACTCATTTCACTTACACTGTTTGAACTCATTTTACTTACAGTGAGCTATATACACACTGGCAAGTTGGCAACCAATACTTCAAACCAAGTCCATATAACTCAATGTGCGATTAGCAGATTTCATAAATCCAAGTCAAACTTCATTACGTAAATAGAAGAGTTAAACAACTTTGTTTACAGAACAAAACTAGTTATTATCTTAATATCTAAACCACTGTAAGAATAAAATTTATAATTCAGCATTTAACAGACACATAATTCAGCCATCATTTGACACATCACTTTGCAACTTCCAAAAAACTGAATTCAATTCATTAAGAGATTATGGGTAAGTCAAACCCAACAGAAAATGGAAATAAGAAATTTGTGTATAGTAATAAAGAAATGTCGACCTCAGAAAAAACTAGGACTATATGTCTTATCTCAGACAGAAGAACAAGATTTGGTACAGTACTACTAGAAAGTCACCCATATTGAAATAAAAACACATTTATTTGCTAAGAATCACTGCCACTCTCAACATTTTAGATGGCACTTATACCCATGAGCAATTTGGAGTTTAAGGTTTCTACTGAAAGATGCAATATGGTTTAATGATTCTATATTTCTACTAAAAGATGCAATATGGCTTCTTTGAGGCATTCCAAGAAAGATGAAAAATCTCTTACTGGCAACCTCAAGCCTATAATGCTACCCATTACATCTCTAATCGTAACTCAAATTCCTGTGTTTTCAAGAGAACAAACATCATGTTGCTGCTCTAAGAAGAAGTTATACCTCCCCAATAACTCATGGTAAGACTCAAAGACCATTAAACCCACTGGGAAGAAGTTATACCTCCACTGGGAAGAAGCCTATAATGCTACCCATTACATCTCTAAGAAAATGTTGATTTCAGAAATTTCAGAAATTTGATTTCAGAAATTTGATTCAACAAATTTCAATTTCAGAAATTTGATTTTTACACAGATTTTACATAATAATAAAATATGGAATTGAGAATAATAAAATATATGTTAATCAGGGCATCAATCCATATGTTCAGATTTTACACAGATTTTCAATTCCAGAAATTCAATCCATATGTTCAGATTTTACACAGATTTCAGAAATCTGAACAAATCTGTAGAAATTAGGGCATCAACAACATATATATGTTAATTTCAGAAATTTCAACAACATATATATTGCCTCAACTTGGGGATGACAATTTCTGAAATTTCTGAAATTGGCAAAATTAGGGCAAAATCAACATATATATATATATATACACCAGATTGAAATAGAGGCAGTCGGGACTCGGGAGGACAGAGTAGGACCTGTCGTCGGGGCGTGAAGGAGAGGAGGGCACTACTAAAAAAAACACTTTTTGCGACCGCCATAAACCGTCGCAAATAATAAAAAAACAGTTGCAAAAAACCTTTTGCGACGGCTCATGCGACGGCAAAGGGGGGTCGCGAATGTGGGGGTGGCAAATACTTTTTGCGACGACAAAGCAACGGTCACAAATTATTCGCAACTGCCTAAACTACTTATAGCGACTGCTATTTTACCGTCGCAAAAAACAAAGAAAAACACTAACATGATTTTTGGCGACCATCTTGTTACCGTCGCAAAAAAAGAAAAGAAAAGAAAGAAGCATAAAAGTGTAACGTTAAGCACTCTAGGAATAGCAATGACAATAATTCAGACAGTATAATATTGTAATTTAATCAGGCATTCCATTTGAGCCCTAAAATTGGAGCCATATATGAAAGTTATTACAACTGAAAACTTGGGAAAAGTTCTTTTATGAAAAAATTACAATCCAGATAGAAAGCTAGTAAAACAAAATCTACAATGTTGGTGTTCACCACTGTACAAGGTATCGGTCGAGTTCCAATTTGTTACAATGGAGATATATGTTCCTCAAATCCAAGCTTGCACCTGATCAATACACATTATGAAGGGGAATAGATCAAAACACAGAGTATCAAATTTCTAGATATTTCTTTAGATAAAGCCTAGCAGAGCAAAGAAAAGGCAACAATTGCAAAGAAATAATGAAAACATTGCAAAGAAATTATGAAAATCAAAATAGACAGCCAGAACACAACTTTACAATTTCAAACACTATATATATACCTATAAAATGACTACCAATTTTTATCTTGAATGCAAGATTCTTGTGTATGTTATTCTACAGCAATAATATTAACATCGGTATATTTTTTAATCACCAAACGCTAAGCATATTATAATGAACATCTTAAACTGCTAAATTGATCCTCACACACCACTCCTCAAGAAATTCATCTCAGTGAGATCTGATTCATTATTTTTTATATTGCCAAAATATGACAGAACAAAGTGGCAGAACCAAAAGAAAGTTGTTGGACAGAAAAATTTAGTAATATTTAACATTTTGGATCTCTATTACAGTGGAACTCTAATACTAAGTGCGCACAGTGTAACCTGCTCTCTATTCCTTTTCCATTACCTGCTCCTTTGAGACAATCAGTTTCAATTACCATCACTGTTATTCGAGAGTACAAGCCTTATTAATAGAAGAATACATGCGATCCTAGTATCCATTAGAATGGCCCCACAAACCATACTTTTCTATGTTCCTTGAAATTTTGACAACACCAATGTCATCCCATGTTCCTAATTCCAGTATTCCAACATTTCAAGTATTCTAACATTTCAATCAAGCACTACACATGTAGGAATGAAACTAATTCAAGTTTCCCACAATTCTCTAGGTGACATGGATATTTTGATTTAATAAACTATTCACATGCAGATTAGTTTAAAACAGTGATAAGTCTTAGGCAACCACATACCATGAACCAAGGCTGATCCAGTGTCATTGGGCATCTCAAACTGAAGCTTCATATATCCCTGATTGCTTCTTGTAATTCAGACTCTGGATGAGTAAACGTAAAGACCTATACCAGTACAAAACAAGATGTAATTTTCAGGAACCAATATTTTAAGTTCACAAACCACAAATTTGAAAATCCCTATGAAATTGTTATCAAAGGAAAAACTCACAGGTTGGGAGGGTGTAAGCCTTACAACACGGTGCAGTTTGACAACATAAGCAGTTTCAAAAAAGATTGACAACAACAATCTATCACATGTGGCCAAAGCACAAAAAAAGATGTTAGCACATACATCAATTGAAATTAGAGACAGATGACCAGCATGATGGCACTTCTCAAGTGACATAAACCTCTTGCTCTTTGATATTTTCTCCGGAGTGACATACAAAATTTTAAGTTCTCCTTCACCCTTTTCAAGGGCTTTGTATATGAACTTTAGCAGTTGTTAAGGTCAACTTGAATGCAGGGATGCCCAAAGCAACCAACCCCATCACTTGAAGGAACTGCAGTTGTCAGAAAAGGCTGGTTCATTTGGTACAACGGTTCAAAAAAGCAAATTTAATATAAATCTGAGAGCACCTGATCCTAAATAAGAGAAAGTAAAGGACTGACAACAAGAGCAACTCCATCAAGAAGAATAGCTGGAAGCTGGTAGCAGAGACTTTTCCTTCCACCAGCAACCATAATAACAAAAACATCTCTTCTACTCATAATTGCATTTACAATCTGGTGACAATTGAGCATTATTAGTAAATATGTATACATAATGTAGCTACAGAATTTTAAAACAATCAATACTCGTCAAATGGTCCCAAATATGCAACTAGAGCTGGACATGTAAACCCCGAGAGAGCCATCAATCCAGGACTGGTATATGATATCAGGCCAGATAAGTATATCACTCATCTGTGCACCCTGGGATACACAAAATCAGAAATTTTCGCAATTACTCACAGGAATGTGAGTGGCCATGAGACTTTGCTGGAGAACAAGGGTTTTAGCCTCAATTATCCTTCGATTTTAGTAATGTTCAAGCCCGGGAAGATGAGTAAGGTGATTAAAAGGCAATTGACAAATGTAGAGAGTCCTAATTCCATTTACTCGGTGGAAGTAGTGTAACCTGAAGGAGTCAAAGTAAGAGTTAAACCGCAAAGACTAATATTCAAATATATGAACCAGAACTTGAGTTACAGAGTTTGGATTATTTCAAGGAAGAAAACCACAAACAGAAAAGATTTCTCTATGGAAAATATACACATGCAGATATGCAAGAGAATTAACAATAAGAAAAAATTTCTCTATGGAAAATATATGTTTCTCAAATCCAAGCTTGCACCTGATCCAAGCATGCACTGGGGCCCAAGTTTTGACCCGTTGTTTTTTATACCGATTCCAAATCTATCACTTCATAGTGAAACATTTCAATTCAACAAACCACAAACATCAAATTCAAGATGAGGCAAGCAAAACCCTTCACACTCCTTAATTCTTAGGCAAACTAATCAGCAAGGATGTTAAAAATCCAAATATATATATATATATATATGTATATATGTGTGTGTGTGTGTGTACAACAACATCACATTCTGAAACAATACATCAGCAACCTCAATGAAAATGCGTTTGATCTGAAAAATGCACCATTGTGATTAGAAAATTTTAGTACACAAATTGAGCTAGAAACAATATTCTTTTGAGTAGAAAATTAGCAATGTGATGCTACTGAAAGGTCACTCATTTTGGAAAGAGAGAGAGAGAGAGAGAGAGTTAGTTTTACCAAAAACAATATAGTAGCAACATCAATCCAAAAAACATGTTGTCTGTGCATTGCTCCAAACATGTTCTTGAGCATTTTTGCCTACGTTAGTTAGAAAATGATGGTTACTTGACAACATCAAAACTTGTTCATACACTCCCCTAGGATTGATTCATGAAAGCTCTGACCACTGCATTTGATATTGCACAGGATATACAAACCTTGAGGGTGTTCTGTAACATTTGTATGTCATTTTCAAATATTGTGGCTTCCACTTTTGATTGCTATACTTTATAAAATTAATTAGTAGCATTTTAAAGTGCTACAAGGAATAAATTAAACACATGATTTGCTTCGTAATATCGAAGCAATTGGAGAGAGATTATTAACTGGACACTAAAAAGATAATAAAGGAAAATGATGGGAATAAAACATTTCAATGTTATAAGTAGAATAAATATTATCAGTTACCATTAATTTAATCAGTTACCATTTCAATGTTAATCAATGAGCATAAGTCATAGGGAAACACACAGAGGTATATATATAAAGAGAGAAACACATGTTAATGCTAATTTTTGAAATGGAGACAATTTATAATCATGAAAATTTATAAGACTGAGACTGATAGAGACTTGTTTGGTTCCATACCATCTAAGTATTAAGCACCATATCCATTACTCTCATCTTGGCTCTTATTAGTTCCTCAGATGTTCAAAATCCAACCAAGCCACCTTAGTATACAGAAGGGTAAGATGAAATGTGGGACTAAATGTACAAACCTTGAACTCTTTTTTCTATTCTTTGGTTCATGGAAGGCTTCCACCATGAGTTTCGGCCCCATTCATATGATACCTTCAAAAGAATGACAACAGATGTAAGTTGTTTAGGTAAACAGAATAAATAAAATAAAATTCATCAAAGATGAAAGTTTCAATAAAAATTAATATTCCTATGTCTATGGATATAAATGTGAGCTACCTTATAATTTTTGAAATTTCTTAGCTCATTAACAAGTATAACTGTCACTAGAGAACCAAAAAAAAAAAAACATGAAAATTACTAAACATATTAACAAAGTCTAGCAAAAAAAATTCTAACCTGTAGAATGGATCACTCTGTCATTACAATCTGTTCAACAGCCATGGCAGACAACCTATTCCAATTGTGTATTTTCTGGTCCATGGATGATTTTAAACAACAAAGTGTGACAAGGATTAGCTGTAAGGCCCATTACTTATAAAAATTAAAGAGCTACATTTTGAATATTTCTTCTAATGAGATGAGAATATCAACAAAAAAACCTTTTGTTGTAATGCTTGTATAAAGGCCTCAGAGGCATCACCACTAGCAATAGCCACAAAGTTTTACGATGATTTTCTCAAACCAACTAATCAACCAATAAACAAGAAAAACATCGAAAAAAGAACAAAAAATTAGAACAATTCGAGCAATTTATGGATCTAAGAACCAAAACAGAGGTAAAAAACAAAGAAGCAAAAACAGAACCGAGGACAGATTTGCATTGCGATGTTGAATTCATATACATATGTATATAAGCATTCATGTAATTATGCATTGATAGGACACTATGTACACAATGAAGCTCAAAGATAGTCTTTGTGTGTGTTTGCGCGCGCATAATGTAGGTAAATTTTAAGGTAGATGAAACGCACGAGAGGTGAGCTTACTCTGCTGCATTTGAGTGCTTCGAGAGAACTTTTCTATGGCAGAGTTAGGGTTTCTCTGCAACGAATCGCGCAAATTGCAGAGAGAGAGTAGACAACATGTACGCAGATACAAAGAGAGATTGAGAGATCGAGAAAGGGTGAGAGATTGAGAGATCGAGATTGAGAGATTGAGAGATCAATCGATTGAGATCAAGAGAGATAGAGAGATTCATATCGGTGAGCGAGAGCGAGAGCGAGAGAGAGAGGTTGAGCGAGCCAAGCTAGGGCAAAAGCAAACAAATAAAGAAAATAGGAAAAATAAAGGTTAAATATAAATTGGAGCTTTTTTTTTTCTTTTGCAACGGCCAAACAAGCAGTCGCAAAAAAATAGTCGCAAAAAGCCAATTTTCTAGTAGTGGGGAGTCCGTCAAATGAGATGGAAAGGGAGGGAGAGAGAGAGTGCGTCAGGCGTCGGGCGTTGCAGTCAAGGACGTCGGAGTGAAAGGGAGGAGCTGAAGGAGTTGGCCTTCGGAGTTGTGAGTTGGAGCTGTCCGTCGAGTGAGGGGGAGCTGTCCGTCGAGTTCAGGAGTCGTTATGCCTCTCGATCGCCATTGTCATTGAGCTATATTTTCCCATTCAAAAATGTTTTTGAATTCTGAAAGAGGAGGGGCGTCAGCTTTGTATGTCACGTGACCCATCACGTGCAGTCCAGCTCAGAGGGGGTCGAGGGGGTCTTATTTTGAGGGGGTCGGAAACATTTTTCTAAAAATAATCAAAAAATCAATTAACATACCAAACCATCTCTTCAGTAGTCAAAATGCATTGGATTGGGGGCATGGACTTCAAGGTCTCTATGTATTGGAATTCGTTTCCAAATTCAAAAAAACATAAAAAAATAAAAAAAATAAGAAACGAAGCCATTACCCCCAACAAGACCTAAATGTTTGCAAATTGCTTCGAGTTTTATTTTTTCGCATGTTAAAATTATGGCATTTATTTATAAATTTCTTTTTATCTAATTATATTTATTTACTTCAAATTATTTTTCTATATTTTAACAAATTTTATTGGTGATATAATTACTAAAATACTCTTAATAATAATATGGTAAAGAGAATATTAATATTCACATTGATAATGTGAATATTTCATTATGTAAACATTCACACTATTAACATGAGTATTTATATTACCAAATTTATTTAATGTGAATGTTCACATCACCAATTTGCGAAGGGTTCAAAAAATATTTGTAAAGATAAAATTGTCTATAAAATACATTAAATATAAAAATTAAGATTTTATGGATCAGATGTTCAAAATATCTTATAGACTAAGCCATAGTTTGGCTAACATTTTAGAGATAAATAATCACAAAAGGACAAAATAAACTATATAAGCTAATAAGATAAAATAGTACTTTTTACCCATAATCATTACATTTTTTTCTCACAAAAATCAAAAATGCCCCCAAACAAAAATCAAACGAGGCTAAAAAAGTTAGGCTAAAAAAGTCTCAACACAAAAAAATTAGCTAAAAAAGTCAATACCAAACGAACCCTAATCATGATACAAGTATGAAGATTTTCTAATAATTTTTCCTTAAAAATAAGACTATTTATATCACCGAAATAGTTTATTAAAACTTTTTATTTTTTACTAGCATATCATCCGTGTTATGCACGGGTTAAAAAAATAGTTTAAAATTAAATAATAATATAAAGTTTATTTAAAATGTATAGAAAAATAATTTAAAATAAATTAAATTTTAACCATTTCATTCGAGTATATATATATATATATATATTACAGTTGTTATATCATTAATTGTATATTTCAAATTCTTAATAAGAAATAAAAATAGATATCATAATCTAGTTGATAAAAATAGAAAAAATACAATATTTCATTCGAGTATATATATATATATATATTACAGTTGTTATATCATTAATTGTATATTTCAAATTCTTAATAAGAAATAAAAATAGATATCATAATCTAGTTGATAAAAATAGAAAAAATACAATAATTTACAAAAATTATATTTATGATAAAATAAAAATACACGTCTTCCTATAATTTTTTCAATTTTGTTTTATTTTATATTAAAATTTGTCCAATTATATATAGCTAAAAATTTCATTCATATTTTCTATTTCAATATTTTTTAATTACAAATAAATAATTTTTATTTGTACTCTTTTATTAAATCTCAAATTAGATGCAATTTATATATGGTTAATTTTTATTATTATTATTCTCCATTTACAAATTCTTAAATTAGAAAAAAAAAATAATTATATAAACCAATAGTTTTATACCTTGTATATCTTATGCAAATTCTTTTATTTAAATATATATAGAAGGTTTAGATATGGATAAAATATACAATTAAAAACACATATATTTTTAAACATCGCACGTGTATTTTTTAATGAATAATGTTTGAGAGCTCGAATTTGGCCTCCCTAATCCCCCTAATCCCCAAAACGATGTCGTTTTGGGGATTTTTTTTTTTTTTTTTTTTTTTTTTTTCCATGTTCGACTCTGCAACAGCTCGGAGGGAGAGGGAGAGAAAGAGAGAAGAAGAGGGGTCCGATCGTCGCAGCAGCAGCTCCGCCGTCGCCTCCGGCCCGCCTCCGCCTCCTCCCACTGTTATGGCCCCCTCCAGTCCACTCCTCCTCCTCCTCCTTCTTCCTCCTTCCTCCTCCTCCCTTCTCTTCTCCTTCTCTGCTTCTGAAAAAAAAAAAATCAAGATTAGGGGGATTCGGGGGAGCTCGTTTTCGAGCTCCCTAGCACGGTCGTTTTTTAATTTATGTTTTAAAAAAACAATTATATAAACCAATAATTTTATACCATATTTATCCTATCCTAGATTTTTTATTTAAATATATATATATATATATATATATAAGGCTTAGATATAGTTAAAATATACCGTTAAAAATACATGTGTTTTTAAACATGACACATGTATTTTTTGACGTGACATAAAAATTTGCATTACACATGTATTTTTTTAATTTATGTTTCCATGTGTCATGCGAAATTTTTATTTTAATTAATAAAGGTCCTATAAATATTTCATCACTAAAAAATTCTTGATTTTTTAAACAACACATGTATTGTTTAGTTTTCAAAAGTAAAAATATAAATTTTTGAAGTAAATATTTTTTAAATTTGAAATTACATAAGACTAAAATTATAGATAAAATTTTCTTTCAAATATTTTTAATTTTCAAATTAGATATGAGTTAGATATGGCTTTTTTATTATTTTTTTATTTTCTATTTTAAGATTTTTAAATTTCAAACCATAGATATGATTGGATAAACTAATATTTCCGTGTTATTTTCTTAAGGTTCACAATTTTTTTAAAAATTAATAAATTTAAATTAATGCTTTGGAACTAATAAAAAAAAAACCCTTTACTTAATATATAGTATAAATATAGATAGATTAGTCAATCCTATATAAAAGCTTCGTTTGGCAAGGAGGTTTGGGACTAATTTAGTCATAAAAGACAAAATAGGCTATTTTAGTCACAACAAACAAAATGTTACATCCAATCCATAAACATTACACTCTTCTCTCACAAAAAAAGTCAAAAAGCCAAAAAGCCATTCCCAAACCAAGCTTTTTAGCCCAGGCTAAAAAAGCCAAAAAAATCAAAAAGCAAAAAGCCAACCCACTTTCCAAACGGAGGCAAAGTAGGTTTAATTTCATACAATAAATTTTTTTTCTTTATATCAAATAAACTTGGCGGGGTTTGGGAAGAGTTTTTTTTTTTTTTTTTTTGCTAAAAGACAAAATAGGTTAAAAACCAAAAATAAATAAATTCAGACAAAATATCACATCAAACTCATAATCATTTCATTTTTTCTCTCACAAACATCACATCTATCTAACTACAAAAAAATCCAACTATCTTCCTAAACACAAAAAAAATTTCCTCCAAAAATAATCAAAAACTAAAATAACAACTTCCTAAACACCCACTTAATGAATATAAGATATGGTATCTCTAACTATGTCAGGATTTTAAAAAATTTCATCCCTTGCACCACATTTTTTTTTTTAATGAAATTTGAGATTTTAAGTGTTATATTTTATATATTTTAAATGATAAATATTTGGAGAGATGATTAACTTAAAATAATTTTAAATTATGTGTCAATTTTAAATGTAAATTAATAGATTACTTTTCATATTTAGTAGCCCTCAAATTTAAACTTTGAAATAAATTAGTATACTTTCCACTTGAAAATCATAAATTAAGGAATAATAATTTTTTTCTTCTTTTTTTGTGTGACTTAAATGAGGCTAGTCAATAAAAGATTTTTTTAATTATTTAAAATTAAAAAATTAAAAATTTTAGAATGAGAGTTAGAAACTTTTAAAAAGTTTTTGATTAAAACGATCGGGGTTCGGGTTTCCCCGACCCCGAAAATCCCCGACCTGTTCAAAAAATATTCAATGAATCTGTTGTATACATAAACATATATATACTCAAAAATCTATATATATATATATGAATCTATTGTATTGAATATGAATATATATACTCAAAAATCTGTTGTATATGAATATATATTCTTAAACATATCTATATATATATTCTTAAATCTGTTGTATATGAATATATATACTCAAAAATTAAAAAACCTGTTGTATTGAATAGATTCATATATACATATATATATATATATATGTGTTGTATTGCATATATATATATATATATATATATGAATCTTTATATATATATATATATGAATCTATCATCATCATCAACAGCAACTTTAAAAAAAAAAAAATCTGAAATGGCAACGGAGGCAGTGGTGGTGGAGGATCTATTATCATCTATCATCATCCACTTAAAAAAATAAAAAAAAAAATCTGCAGATCTGTTCGTCAAGCTGCAGCAGATGATCGGCGGTGTTGCGAAGAGGAAGCGAAGAGGCGGTGTTGCCATGGCGACGGAGGCGGTGGTAGTGGAGGATCGGCGACGGATCTGTTCAGATCTGTTTCGATCTGATCTAGATGATGAGGAGAGAGAGAGGGAAAGGAAAGGAAAGGGAGGGAGAGAGATGAGACTGAGATTTGAGTCATTGAGTGAAGGAGAGAGAGATGAGGGCCACGGTGAGAGAGAGACACACAGAGGAAGTGAAATGGGAAAATAAGTTTGGTTTATATATATATATAGGAGGGGTAAAAGGGTATTTTCACTTCGGGGATAATTCAGGGACGGGGCCGTGGACGGGGCCGGGGATGGGGCTTGAACACTGATCACCGTCCTCGGCCCGAAACAGATCGGGGATTGATTTTCAAATATCGTCCCCTCCTCGTTGGGGGTATTTTTCGGGAAAAAACCGCTTAAATCGGGATCGGGGATCCCCGTCGGACCGGTTTCAAATTGCCATCCCTATTAAAAACTCTCTTTAATTTATATAATATATAAATGTGGATTCGTGTGCAGTGATGAAATAAAATTATCATTTGTCTAAAAATAGAAAAGAGATGCCATATACCACCTAGTTTTTGTCACTCATATGGTAAAATGTTATTTGATTCGGGGATTGATTTTCAAATATCGTCCCCTCCTCGTCGGGGGTATTTTTCGGGGAAAAACCGCTTAAATCGGGATCGGGGATCCCCGTCGGACCGATTTCAAATTGCCATCCCTATTAAAAACTCTCTTTAATTTATATAATATATAAATGTGGATTCGTGTGCAGTGATGAAATAAAATTATCATTTGTCTAAAAATAGAAAAGAGATGCCATATACCACCTAGTTTTTGTCACTCATATGGTAAAATGTTATTTGATTTCATTAATTCGTCAATAATTTTACTTAAATAAGAAAATCAATCATAAATATGCATGTCAATAGTGATAAAATGGTACTAATAAAAATCTAGTGACACATGCCATAAAATGCCATTTCACAAATAACTAAGCCAATCAATCATAAATATCCAGATAAATAGTGATAAAAATTAAAAACCAGTGATATGGCATGGTGACAGAGAATCAGAACCAAAAACGCCCACCGTGGGGCTCGAACCCACGACCACAAGGTTAAGAGCCTTGCGCTCTACCAACTGAGCTAGACGGGCTTCACGCTTATTTTTCCGCATTTACCATTCTATATCTTTCACTTTTTCTGTGATGTCCAGACTGAATAATATGCACGACCGACCACCCTTTTGACATACAAAGTGAAAATGAACCATTATGGTTTGGTATTAGTATTACAATTTTATTATTACTTTTTTTAACAATTGAAAATACACATATATCTACAGGGAAAGAAAAATTGGAAAGCGGTGGAGACATGTGGCTTAAATAGAAATTAAAAATATATATATATATGTGAAGAATAGAAAGTCGCAAAGTGATGGAGACACATAAACTAAATAAAAACTAAAGAATCCTTCATATACATTAATCCTGTCGTTGGTGAGATTTGAATCCCTATATCCTCATATGATAATTGGAGTAATACCATTGAGCTAGAAGCCCTTAGCAACACAAGTGTTACATTATAAGACTAGACTTCACAATTTATTTTTTTTATTTTTTTTCCACACTACCTAAGAAAAGCCAATAAAATGAGTCCAAATCCTCTCTCAAATTTCCTTGCAAGACTACCAAAACGACATCGTTTTAGTAAAATTTTTTTTTTTCTCTATCGTTTTTCTACAACATTTTAGAGGAAGACTGACATGGCTAATGAAGCAAAGGCCAATGGCAATCATCAGAAACTTCACGGAGGCAATCAACGTTGCCGCGAAGATCAAGTCTAGGCCCTAAATCCAGATGGATTCGTCATGTCCACCCAAACAAACATGACCTAATCCTGTCGTTGGTGAGATTTGAATCCCTATATCCTCATATGATAATTGGAGTAATACCATTGAGCTAGAAGCCCTTAGCAACAAGTGTTACATTCTAAGACTAGACTTCACAATTTATTTTTTTTATTTTTTTTCCACACTACCTAAGAAAAGCCAATAAAATGAGTCCAAATCTTCTCTCAAATTTCCTTGCAAGGCTACCAAAACGACATCGTTTTAGCAATTTTTTTTTTTCTCTATCGTTTTTCTACAACATTTTAGAGGAAGACTGACATGGCTAATGAAGCAAAGGCCAATGGCAATCATCAGAAACTTCACGGAGGCAATCAACGTTGCCGCGAAGATCAAGTCTAGGCCCTAAATCCATATGGATTCGTTGTCTTTGGGAAAAAAGAGAGAACCAAAGAAAGTGCTGACGTTTGTGTAATATAAACACAGAAGTCCCATAAATTCAAAGTTCTTAACAAAAAAGGTTCCAAATCAACACTTTCAATATGAAGCAGATAAATAAGATGAAATTAAACCACACATCTATTTGCAAAGATACTACAGATCATGATCATTATATATATAGAGAACTCAACAAATTCATTGGTCACAGAGCCCTGATCTTTTTAAGAAAAATCAAACCCACTCCAGTGACCCTCTTCTTCCTCCTTTCTCTCTCTAAAACTACCCCACTCCGGCGACCCTCACCAATGTGACCTCCCACAACTACAACCCTCATAGCCGGCGCCCTAACAATCGATGGTGACTTGAGAGAGAAGACCACACCCATCAAGAAGAAAAAAAAATTGAAAACAAAAAGGAGAGAGAGAACACATCCATCTCCAGCTAAACAAAAAACAGAGAGAAAGAGAGATAACACCCATCGGAGTTCTTCTCCTCTCTTTTTTTTCCAAAACCCTAACCCTGGATCCACCTAGATCACAGTGTCCCATTCGGCCGGCGAAGCCATCTCCAGCGCCCTCTGTTTCTCCTCCTCCTCCTCCCCCCCTCTCTGCTCCTCTTCCTTCTCTCTCTCTCTCTTACTGTCACCCCGCCTCTTTCTCTTGCTATCGCCTCACCGCACCTCTCTATTTGTTAGGGTTTGGTCTCTCAAACATTTGAGAGAGAAAAGAGGGAGAAGGGAAAAAAAAAAAGGGCCAAAACGACGTTGGTTTGGCACCACCATTGAAAGCCCCGCAGAAAAACCCAACAAAGGATCTGCTCTCAATAAAATGCACCAAATAGGCTTTTAAGTTTTAGAAGGTTAGCTCACTCTCACTCTCTCTCTCATCAATGGGGAAACGTAAATTGCAGTCTAGAAAGATTAGCCAATTGCCACACCAAATTATTTTTTAAAATCAGGTATTCTGCGATGCAATGTACCTGTTGGATATTGCACCCAACATGAAGCTTTCCCCAATATTTCTGTAACCATCAATCAAGAAATGAAAAACCTGATAATCTGCATCTACAAGAACAATTCAAGTTTATCAATGGTTAAGATCCGCCACCACTTTAATCACTATATTAGAACCATAAATGGTAAATAAATTGGTTTGACGTTTGCAACCTGGATTAGATTAGAACTATATTTAGCTCCACAAAAGATTAGTACCACATACATTGGATCCACAAGAAATGCAGTTATAATACTACTGGCCTTTAAAGTGGTCAACAAAATACATGAAATTGAACTCCTGGAGGACTAGGCTGAAAGACTATGTAAAGATACACAATATTATCAATTGGAATTAGGCTACAGCCAAAACCACCTCACTGCGTAAAATGTCAAGTGATATAGCAGTCAAAAACATAGCCTACGTGCCTATAGGAATCGGAATGGTTTTTCTCTGGTGCGGTAGACAAAAGCATATTTGAAAAGAACACAAACAATAATTGCATAGAATGTCAACATTCCATCTATGGCTGCAAGCGAAATGAGAGTTCCAATTACAACACAATTCTTATATATATATATATATATATAACATAATTCTTAACATTCAAAGAATGAAACTGACAATAGTTCAAAAACCACATCAAGTGTTTGACACTTTTCATTGTTTAACTCAAGTTACAGATCACGACTCATCCCAAAATTCACAAACACAACCTTTGGGCCTAAATCATATGATTCGATTTGAACATACAGTCAGAAAAACAAGAGTTCAGGTTCTAAATCTAGACACTGAGTATTTAAAATCCTGACCTCAAACTACACGAGCACAAATTTAAAACACCCCAAGTTAATCCCCCACATGAACTGCTAACAATTTCTTAATCACCAGACTAGTACAGAAGGAACAACGAATGAGTCAACTTGAACATGGGGTTCCAAAGAGTTGTCACCATTAAGAGCATACCAGCCCAAGCAACATTCAGTGAATTGTCCTGAAGTTCGAAAGCTAGTTTGATTTCAGATCTACAGTAGAGATGTTGTATGAGCCTCCATTTTGTAGCCCACTGCTTTTTACTCCCTCTTTCAACTGCATTACACCAACAAAGAATGTTTAGAATAAACTAAAAGCAAAGAATGCATGCCAGCAATCTTGGCATATTACTGATACACTAAAACTTAAAAGAGCAAAACAAGCATGATTTGCATGAGCCACTTCCTTCCAACCAAAGAATGTGACCCACCACACAAGTAGCTAAGACCAACACTACAGTAAGTTGTACAAAAAATAATAAAGCATCTCATCACCAAAATGAGCCGAAGCATGAAAAGTGGAAACCCAAAGTGGATATCACTTCTAAAGTTTATTGATCTCTCAGATACATGGGCAATGGAAACAAATAAATCAACTATAGAAAATTCAATCAACATCTTGTTCGCATGAATGATAAAGAGGAAACTTAGACAAGATGCCAAACAAGACTCACACAAGTAAAAAGACAATTGACTGCAGCTTTTACCTGGTTGAGGAGTTTCTTTTGATACCGATAGCCCTAATGAGATAAATCCAAGGATAACAATATTAGAATACTGTATAATCAACCCCGAATCAAACCAAAAATTTCAGATAATATAAATAAAACTAATTGTATAATGACCTTGTCAGTTCCATAGATGTAATCACAGTATGTGAACACTGAAGCAAAGTTGCTCTGGCTTTGTCCACCAACATAATGATGATAATCATGGTATTCTGCACCACCATAAAATGGGATATATTTTGTGGGAGCCCAAGGAAAGTCATATCTGCATTGTGACCACAAACAAGTTAGTATATGCTCCACGTGGTTCAATAGTTAAACTTCCTCTTCACAATCAGAAATTTCTTGGATTGTGTATCAACTAATCCAATTTCTGTGATAATTCAAGAAAATAAACTTGTCCGATACCTCACGTTAACTTGTTATAAATTTATTACCAAAGTTGTGTTACATGTAGTCCAGTCTGGGTGTCTCGTGTGGGTATGTGTCTATAAGTGTTGAAACCATCTAATTCTCATGTCCAACAACAGGGCACACCTAGATTTTATATTTCTTAAATACTCCTAAATTTTCAGGAGAAAATGGCACTTACAAAAACTAATACATAGCATGTTATGCATAAAATGGAAGTCTGTTAATAGTAAACTCAATTATTTATACATACTTGTTAGGGTGCATTCCAACTAGACATTTTAGACACATATCCCACACCCTTACTCATGTGTCCAGTGTCTGACAAGGGTATTTCACAAATTTATAAGAGCATGTATCATAACAAAGTTTAATTTAAAGGACTCAAGTATGTGTCATAACAAAGTTTAATTTAAATTAAAGGACTCAAGAATAATAGGAGGATTAAAAACAACTGCTCACATTTTTAAACTAACACACTAGCTTTATTCTACTCACTATGGTTTCTCCTTCTCTATTCACCTGTGCTCTACTCCCACTAGTCAAAAAGTCAAACCACACATTGTTCGCCTACAAGATATACTGAGAGCATCATCTTGTGACAGAACAGTTATTCATCAATTAACACAAATGAAAACTGCTGGTGGAGCATCATTTTGCATACACCATACATGCGCACCCATACTAGTACACGTACCCATACCTAATACCTACCCAGTACTTGTACGGCATAAGTTTTGGAGTACCCATGCTTTATAGGTTCCTTTTGGGTCAAACCACAACCACAACCACAACCACAAAGCCCAAAGCTCTTGTTGACTTGGCATCAAAATTCAAAACTATTCATAAGGGACATTACAAGGTACCCTATAAGCCATTTGGAAGACACCTTAGGTCCCTTAACGTAAGGTAAGTGTAAGCCTATGAATATGGAGTATATATGTGCGCATGCCTAAAAATTTAGAATTCAAATAATTTTCAGTCTTTATTTATGTTTATTTTAAAGTCAAAACAAATATTAAGATGTCTCTTTACGTAAGCTAAGTGTAGGCCTATGATATGTGAGCACGCCTAAAATACTAGAATTCAAATAATTTTCAGTCTTTATTTGTGTTTATTGTAGATTTATATTAGGTTTTTTTAGTTAAAGGTATTTTGTTAATTTTGAAATATGTTGGATATAGGTTGTAAGGGTTGCACATGGGTCGTATGGGCCCAATGGGTTGTATTGTGAAATAAATCATGTTATTGGGCTTTTTATGAAGTGTTTACTAGGTTTAGAATATTTTGTTAGTCAAAATTTCTTTACTTCCTAATTATGGTGAATTGGCCTAACCCTTGAAAGGGTGGTGTGTCTCTTTCTTTCTCTACCTCTTCCCCTTCTTTGCACAAATTACCAAGTACTATTCTCAGGTTACTATTCACAGCACTGCATTTGTTAGCCCCTAATACCCTGCTCAATCAAACTTTAATCAATCCTAACCCCTTTGCAACATATTGGCCATCAATTTAGACATTAAAACCCTAAATTAATCAGAGTTTAGGCCCTCAATTTTGAAAATACAGCAAGCTGCTACTTTTGAAGCCAGACCAATTTTGGTTTTTTTTCGACAAACTCATCTTAGACATTTTAAAACTCTAACCCTATTATATATTCTTACCTAAGCCCACCACGAATCCTCTCATTGACAGCTTTGGCCAAGTTTCCTAATCTGTCCTTAATCAATATTTCAAATATAGAATTAGTGAAGTCATGTGATTTGGTGGCTAGAGTGGAGAGTTTGCTGCATCATTTCACAACTCATCATGGGCCATTTGTCCTGGCATGTCTAGGAGAGTGAGAGAGAAATTTCTCCAAATTCTTCTATAGATCCTTCTAAAATCAGAAGGTCCCTTGGGCCACATGGCATGCTTCTCCCTAAGGGAGCACATATATACCTAAGTCTTTTATGATTTTGCAAATGTTGCCACCTAGCATTTTCTAGCATGTGACATAAGGTAGAGTACACTTTGCTCTCTCTCTCTCTCTAATTTCCCACATCTAACCTAGTTTACCACCTTGCCTCAAAACCCTATTACTAACCCACATATATCTGATTTTACATCCCTCTTGGTGACTCTTCTTAATAACAATTCTCATTCTGTTCATACAACTTAATCTTGAAGAAACTCCTCACCAACAAGGTCTAAAATTTTGGATCTAATATTGCGAAATAATGGTACGGAAGAACCACCACTGAAAACAAAAGAATCAACCATGTAAAAGTGACCTTCATAACACGTCCATAGATTTATCTAAAACTTATCAATCGAAAGGAGAGAGTATTCTATGGGAGATAAAAAACGGTGGTGCTACATGTACCAATTAATATACAACATATATTATGACATTATTACTAATCTCACTCATTATACAAATTACAAATACTAAAAACCTCTAAAAAGTATACCAATTGATGCATATAGCATTATTCAATAAAAAATCATCAAGGCACTATTATGGTTGTGCTACTTGTGCACAAATAACCAAGCACTTGTGCTATTAGAGCAAGAGAATGAAATAAATTGGGTGCAAAGCACAAGACCCAACAAACGGAAATTATTTAATAATCCCGAAATATCACGTGGTCATACTCCAAACAAATCGCCAAGCCTCCATATTGTTCCCCCCTCCCAACATCCAACATAAATCGTGGGCTCCTATCCCTCTTTACCGATCAAAACCTTATGGAACAATGAATAATCACCCCCAAACCAAATGTAAAACCTAAAGCAATCTTGCTCCACTGGTAATGCATGCGACACACTTGAATTTTCAGAACCAGCAAATTGTGAATTCAAATACTCTTCAACCTCTTACCCAGTTATAGGGGACAACAAGCTCCAATTCAATTTCTACCAGTTCAAATAAACTTAAATAATAGATCTGAACGCACATATCTATATCAAAAAATAAACTTTCCGGATCAATGCGTGCACTAAACCATGAACAAACACTAGTAAAGCTAACCCAGATGAAAAGATCATCAAATAATAAAAAAAAAAAGAAGAAGAAAAAAAGGTGGGTATGTAGAGAAGGAAAGAAAGAAAGAAAGAAAGCAAAAGGAGGAGACCCTTATGAGATCAATCTCTCCGTCGGTAAAAAAGTAAGACACTATTCAAGATCCTGCGATTTCCACACAGTTTAAAAAGATAAATTAAACAAAACAGTGAGTAGATGCAAGAAATGTTAACTGTTAAAACATAATTTGGTCAAATAAGGAAAAGAAGAAAATGACAGCTTATCAAAACAAATCTAGAAAAGGCATGCGTACCCGCTGTGAGTCTCAATGGCCTCAATCTGCCTCAAAGCAATCCACAACCAGAACGTGACCATGTGACCCGGGGCAATGGCGGGACCCAGAAAAGATGGAATCCCGAGGATCAAAACCTCCGCCCAGTGCGCGTACGGCGCCGCAAACCCGATCGGCGCTGTATACTCGTGATGAACCCTATGAATCTTCTCGAACCCCCATTTACAATGCAGAAATCTGTGCATCCAGTAGTTTGTATAGTCTTCAATTACAAAGTAAACCACCAATTGCGCTACAATTTCACCCATTGATGGTAGAGGCAAATTCGTCCTAATCCCAATCAACTACAACATCAACAACAAAATCAAAATTCAAAATCAGCAAAACAAAAAAATTACTGATTTTTTTTTTTTTTTAATGAGATTTGGGAAAAAAATTAGATACTTGGATGGAAGGGTAGGAGAGGAGTTGGAGAGGCCCGACGACGAGGAAGAACATGCGCATTACGGCGAGGTAGCAATTGAGGGATTGGGAGAAGGAGAGTTTGATTTTGGGTTGGATTTTGAATCTGTGGATTTTGGAGTAGGTGAGCTCGAGGAGGTGGTAGAAGAGAGGGGTAAGAGAGAAGACGAGGAAGAGGAAAAGAATGTTGTGGCAGTAGAGGAAGTAGTCGGATTTGGTGGCGGAGTAATGGAACCACAGTGTTTCTGTGGCGGTGAGGGGGCGGCCGATTGCGGTCTCCGCTTCTTGGATTGTTTTGTAGGGCAACATTGGTGGCGGCGAGAGGCGGTGATTGGCGGCGGCGGTGAGAGTGGGGAGGGAAGATGTGGTGCGACCGTGTGTGTTGTTGTTTTGGTGGTGGTGGTGGTGGCGGTGTTTGTCAGGCTGGTTGTTTTTGTTAAAAAGATGCGGGAATACTCTTAAAAACGACTCGCAAATGGAATCGTGGGCTCTATACTGGACATTAATTTCCATATGCCCATGGATGGTGTATAAATAAACAACAATCATATATCATTCTAAAATTAAAAGTGTTTGTTAGGAATAAAAAATTAAAATATTGTTAAAAAAATTAAAATGTCTATACTATTTAGCCTCTGTTTGGGAAGTGGGTTGGCTTTTTGGCTTTTTGGCTTTTTTGGCTATTTTAGTCTGGGCTTAAAAGCTTGGTTTGGGAAGGGCTTTTTGGCTTTTTGGCTTTTTTGAGTTTTTTTGTGAGAGAAGAATGTAATGATTATGGGTTGGATGTGATGTTTTGCTTGTTATGGCTAAAATAGCCTATTTTGTTTTTTGTGGCTAAAATAGTCAAAAAAACCTCCAACCCACCTTCCCAAACGTTGCCTTAGAAAAACTTGTGAGAGAAGCTTAGAAGGCAAAATTATTATTTTGTCCTTTTAATTCAACTACTCAAGAGTCAAAAAGTTAAAAGTCAAACAGTCAACAATGATAGAATGGTCATTTTTATTTTATTACGCATCTTTTGTAAAAAGTTAAATAGTTATCCTAAATATACATCTTTTTTTTCTTTTCTTTTTTAACTAAAAAGTCAAAAAATGCACCTGTATAGTACATCCCAAACAACCTTTGTTTTAAAGGAAATGCTAGAGAGCTCTAAAACTAGAGCTCTAATTTGAGCTCTAGTGATGTGTCAAAGCAAAAAAAAACAAAACAAAACAAAACAAAACAAGGCACAAACATCACATCAGGGTAGGTCCCATCTTCCCATTAGAGCTATTAGAGCTCTTATATTAGAGCTCTAAAGCATTTTTGTTGTTTTAATTGAGTTTTAGTGAGGTGGAAAGTCAAAAAAAAAAAATTAAAAAATAAGGCTAAAACATCACAAAGTAGTGGAAAAATGAGAGAGGCCACTAAAAAGAAGAGCACTAATAGCTCAAAAATGGTGTGGGTCCCACATGATGGGATGTTTTGCTCATGTATTTTTTTTATTTTATTTTTTTAAATTTCCACCTCATTAGTAGTTAATTAGTGCCTCCCAAATTAGTGGGATGAATCATTGTTGCAAAGTAGTGATACATAACTCTAAAATAGTAGCTCTAATGAGGTGGAAGAGAGAGAGTAGAGAGAGATAGAGAGAGGAGTGTAGCTCCCATATCACATGCGCACTCTCCATATCATTATAATTCTATTAGAACTCTTAAATTAGAACTCCCAAACATTATTGAAACATCACATCAAATGGGCCTTACATATACATTAGAGCTATTAGAGCTCACAAATTAGAGTTCCAAAACATTTTTGGTATATAAATTTATCTAATTATTAGTTCAGTAGGAGGTGGAATACTTTTACACGGTATTTAGTTGAGAGATTTAAAAAAAAAAGGAAGAAAAGGTATGTAAATTTTTGTGAAATATAAATATATTTTATTCACATTTTACATATATTTTCTCCTTTTTTTTTCAAATCTTTTCTCAAATTCCCTAACCAAACACAGCATTAGAAGAGAAGAAGAAAAAAAAAATGTGAATATAACATTACTATTTGAGAGGGTAATTTGTGAACAAATTAGGTCGAGCTAGGACGAGTTTTCTTTGGAAGTTGGGCCGAGCAATGGACCAAGGAGATATTTTGTATTTTGGCTTTAGGCCGAGGTAGGTACCAGAACGGTTAGATGTGTTGTTGGAATTGGGACCTATCTGGGGACAAACCTTGGTCTAACCGAGATGATAACAGGGCGATGGACCGAATTAGGTGTAGCTCGGCAGGATGCCAACCGGTGGCAGGGTCATCACGCCTCGCCTATGTTGAGCACAGAGCCGAAGTAACTTTGTTGACCGCAGTATTAGCCGAGGTAAAGGGTTTAGCCATCTCACTTGGCTTGCAATGATGAGGGTGTCTTAAGGATAAGCATTATCTTTGGGCTTGAGACTCCTAGGAGGACTCTATTAAGGAGAGTAGAGTCCTATTACGATTGTTCAAACTATCTCACTTGGTTGGTAGTGAGTAGAGTGTTATCAGGATAGACATTCTTCACTGAGAGTGTGAATCCTAAGAGGACTCTTATAAGGAGAGTTGGAGTCCTGCTAGGATTGTGCCAGGCAGAATCTATAAAAGCTCATAGCAGGACCTATATACAGGTATCCCAATTCTTACTCTAGAATACACAGAACTTTTGTATCTATTGTCTATTTGTTGACTTAGGCATTGGAGAGATTTTCGATACACACCCACCGGCTAGCTCACGTTTGTGTTTTCAAGTGGCAAAGCGACGACGTTTGGAGGAGTACAAACTTGATCAACAAGATTATACGAGAAGATTATTTATGTGCTCGTACGATTGGCGCCGTTTGTGGGAAAAACAATCACAAAGAACAAACCTCTTGATAAAGTTTTCCTTCAACTGATTTCAATGACGCACAATGACGATTTGCCGAAATCTGTTATTGATGGGCAAACCCCGTAGGGGGACGGGAGACCCGAAGGCTTACTTTCTATCCCACCCATGGCAGAGTTAGATTCCCAATGACGGAACCCCTAGAGGGATACGCGGGAAAGATGGGGCTCCAGTCCTCGTCGCTCCCAAAGCCTTGAAAGACAGAAACGGAAGTTAGATCCTCAGGTTCTGGAGGATCGCATGAGAGAGCAAGGCGAATTGATTCGGAGGATGGCAGTAGACATGGAGACAATACAGCGCCAGATAAAGGAAAATGGGCGGCAAAAGAAGAGGTGGGCAAGAGCAAGGCGCACTCTAGCCACTCAGAAGATCGTGACAGGCAAGTCACACCATCTCAGACGGAAAGTAGAAGCCTAAAGATAAGTGGTACACAATCACGAACCTTTAAGACTCGCTACTCAAGGTCTGAGAGAACGAGGACTGAGAGGTCGTTTACTGAGGGAAGCAATTATCGGCCCTCACACACGCACCAAACGTTATCTAGGCACACGAAGTTTCCTAGGTCGGCAGACCTGCGTATAGTGCTAGAGAAGAGGGCCCGATGGAAGGAGGACACCCAAGCTCGCGACCCTCGTAGAGTTTCAGCTCTACAACGATTGGCTCCTAGGACACATGGGAGTGTCGAGGTGGGGATGCCAATACCAAGCCTTGATTACAAACCAGTAGATAAAGTATTAGCAAGGTTGCAGAGCTCACCGTTCGTTCCGGCAATTGAGAATGCTCCGTTACCCTCAGGCTTCCACCAGCCCAAATTCACTACTTATGAGGGGAAATCAGACCCCTACATGCACTTAAACCACTTTAGCGCAGGTTATGGCCATGTATTAGCAAAACGAGGCTCTAATGTGTATCTTGTTTCCTTCCAGCCTTGGTAACCTGGGTTTAACATGGTTTGAAAGGTTGCCAGAAGGTAACATAGCTTCATGGGCGCAACTAGCGGAGGTATTTGTGACCAGATTCAGAACGAACACCAAGACGCCAGTGGAGATTGACCAGCTTCTCTCCATAGACATGGGCGAGGAAGAAACATTGAGGTCTTACAATAATCGGTATTGGGAGACTTTTAATCAGATTGGAGATTGCCCACAAACTTAGCTATCGCACAGTACAAACGAGGTTTGCCGGCTGGCAATAAATTGAGGGATTCAATGACAATGACGCTGCCTTTTAGTATGGAAGCCCTGATGAAGAGAGTGCACCAACACATATTGGTAGAGGAAGATGGGATGCGCACCAAGGCAGAGTCCGACACAATAGCGAGGTCGGACGAAACACCTTCGGCAAAAGTTAACACAGTCGACAAGAAGGACCAACCACGCAAAAAATCTTTGTCTAACTGGGGGGCAAAGTAGGTTAGTAGGTTTGACCAACTCTTTCTAAAAAATCTTTTCCCAACTGGGGGCAAAGTGGGTTGGCATGTTTGACCAACTCTTTCTTACAAATCTTTGCCCGACTGGGGGGCAATAAAAAAGGTTAGCAGGTTTGACCAATACTTTTTTCTTCCTCTAGCCGAGATAAGGATCTAAGCTCAGGAAGGTTAACAGGTTTGACCAACACTTTTTCTCCTCAAGCCGAGATAAGAATCTAGGCTCAAGAATGTTGGCAGGTTTGACCAACACTTTTCATTCTTTAGTCGAGATAAGGATCTAGGCTCAAGAAGGTTGACAGGTTTGACTAACACTTTTTTCTTCCTCTAGCCGAGATAAGGATCTAGGCTTAGGAAGGTTGGCAAGTTTGACCAACAATTTTTTCATGCTTCAGCCGAGATAAGGATCACGGCTCAAGAAGGTTGGCAGGTTTGATCAACAAATTTTTTTTGGATTTTTCAGCCGAGATACGTATCTTGATCAAAGTAGGTTGGCAGGATCAGGTAAGGCCAAGCTAATTAGTTCGGCTAAACATGCAGTCGGAATGATGCAAAACATTGAAAAAGAAACACAGTAAGCAAGCAAAAAGATCGAAATTTTTCATTACAAAAGGTGGGACATATAGCCCGGTTACACAGAAAAGGCATTTTTCTCATGCGATTGCGAACTTGAAAGATATTAATGTTGAAGGCAAAAAGGCGGGGCTGTTCAAATTTTTGGAGGTATACAACAGTTGTAACAGGAGAACGAGGATAATGAGGGCACGCCACGTATCTTGGGAATGACATCATGCCAGATTAGTGGAATGAAATGTTGAGCAACTGACAAGACTTATTGGGGCCGAACGAGCTGTGAAACCGAACAACTTTTCTAGCACAGCAGAGTGGGACATTCTTAGCTCGGCTGGAGGAAAATAATCTCAATCATGCTATGCAGATGAAACTAAAGGGGCAATTGAGAGCGTAATTTGTGAACAAATTAGGCCGAGCTAGGACTAGTTTTCTTTGGAAGTTGGGTCGTGCAATGGGCCAATGAGATATTTTTTATTTCGGCTTTGGGTCGAGGTAGGTACCAAAACGGTTGAATGTGTTGCTGGAATTAGGATCTATCTGGGGACAAACCTTGGTCTAACTGAGATGATAACAGGGCGATGGGCCGAACTAGGCGTAGCTCGGCAGGATGCCAACCGGTGG